AGACCAGCCAGGGCTACATAGAAACCCAGTTGTAACCTGCATGCATGAGGTCCTGAATTTGATCTGTAACACGCTGGGTTACCCCAGTAATGGGGAGGGACAGATGGATCCCCAGAACTTTGGCCAGGTTACCCTATTTAGCAAACCATAGAGCAGTGGGAGACCTTACATCAAGAAAAAGAAGCTAGGTGGGGAGGGGGATATGATTCAGCAGTTAAAGGTGACTGCCACCAAACCTGACAACCTGGGTTCAGTCCCCTGGTATCCACATGGTAGAAGGAGTGAAGGGACTCCTGCAAGCTGTCTTGTGAGCACATACACAGACACCACGCTTGTGCACAGATGTCCGCAGACCACATACATGCACATCGTGCTTGCCCACAGGTGTCCTCTGACCACATATACACACACTATGTTTGCACACAGGTGTTCTCTGACCTCCACACATGCACACTATGCTTGTGGCCAGAAACCCCATAAATAAATAAATGGATAGAGAAATAAACAACTTTTGAAAAACCAAAGAGGATGCCTCCTAACATCATGAACCAGAGACTGCCCTGTGGCTTCAATATGTACATGTGCACAGAGATATTACACAGAAACAAGGCATATCAAGGAATAAGACTCAGTAAACACAAAGCAAGGCGAAACAAACCCTGCACCTGCTAAGAAGCCGGGGTCAGGGAGTCCGGTCCCCTGAACTGGACTGTCTGGGGTGATTCACTCTCCCTCAGGGAGAAGCAGGGGGCAGGGCATTGCCTGACCTGATGGGGCACCTGCTGAGTGGTGGCTGAGGCCTATACCCAGCTGGCTCATGCTGGCCCCAGGGCCTTTGCACGTGCTGCTCTGGCGGGCAGGAGAGCCTGGTTCTGTGCCTGCCTGGATCCCACCACAGAGCGAATCACAGTTTGTCTCTGTGAATTGTCCCCATCTCTACCCCAACCCTGTGTGCCTTTCTTAGGCCTCCAGAAAGATCCAGGGTTTAGCTAGTGAGGACAGACAGGCCCATTTCAGGGATCCTGGGGCTTGCATTGACCCCAGGAGGCTGAGAACTCCAGCCCTCCTGCCTCATTTGGCTCTGAGAGGTCTCTAAGAGCAAGGTCACTGGGTTCAGACAAGCTGCTCCCCCCACCCCACCTCCAGGGGATGACAAGGCTCTGTGGCAGGGAGAGCAGCTGGATGGAGAGGCTGCAGGACACTGGTATTTTTAGGCACTGAACGAAGCTCTTAAGTATGTCCACAGCCCCTCCCAGAGCAGGCTGGGTGACTGTTTTGGAGCCTGGTTCCAGCAGAGGCGGGATGGGATGGAGGGCATGAGTCACTGCCTGGTGGCTCTGGAGGAGGCCGGGCCAAGGGAGGGAGCTTGCTGGATGGGACCTTGTGTGGAAGCTATGGCCTGGTGCTACCCCCAGTGAGGCTCAGGCTAATGGGGCCCCAGTGGGCCACAAGTTGGTCTTCACTGACTCAATAGCTTGTAGAAAGTAAGGTCTGGATGGTATGGCACATGCCTTTATTCCCAGCACTTGGGAAGCAGAGACAGGTGGATCTCTGATCTACAGAGTAAGTTCCAGGACAGCCAAGGGTTAAAAAAAAGAGAGAGAGAAAGAAAAGAAAGGTCTAGATAGCATCAACTCTCCCAAAGATACCACTCCATCCATTTATTGACTACTTAGTGCTTATTTTATACCAGGCTGGCCTTAGGGTGATCACTGCGCTTTGCATTTATTGAGTGCTTGCTGTGCATTTATCATTCCCACCACACAATTATTTAGCACTTGTTGCATACCAGGCAGGTCCTAGGGGTGATGGTCATTGTGCCATACAATTGCAGTAGTTTACCCTCACTGTGCACTTACTGATCACTGGCTGTATACCAAGCTGGCCCTAGGATGATGAGAACACCATGTATATATTTATTGAGCACTTGCTGAAGTGGAGGTACAGTTGTTACACAGCAAGGAAATGGTCCAGGCATCTTACCCAAGGCCTCCAGGCCTGTGTGGCCACAGTTGCTAGGTCAAGAGGCCTTGTTTTGTTGTTTAGTGCAGGGGAGGGAACCCCAGGCCTCCCACAGGCAGAGGGAACCGCACCCTTTCCCAGGGGAGGATTTTATTTTTTGCAAGTGTATCCCTGAGAAGCCCAGCAGCTCCCGCATAGGCGAAGCCCAGAGAAATGGAAGTTTAGGAGAACAGGGCCTCACCACCCTGGTCATCACCAGCTCGTGGCTCCTTGTTTGGCCCTTGAAGCTGAGCCTGGAGGTCACCAGTAAGAGAGGGAAGCCATTGGCAGTGGTGGTGGCAGGGTGTGTGTGTGTGTGTGTGTGTGTGTGTGTTGTTATTTTTCTGGAGACAAGGTCTCCCTGTGTAGCCCAGGCTAGCCTTGCACTCACAGAAATCTACTTGCCTCTAGTGCAGGGATTAAAAGCATGTACCTGTCCAGCCACTGCTGTCTATTGCTGGGCAGTAAACAAGGGTATTCTCTGGGGATAGTCTTGGGAGCCTGGGCAATGCGCTGGCAACACATTCCCATCATCCTGGAGTCTTCATCTCTCCTTCGGTGGTCTCAGGGAGGAGTGGTGTTGGAATTAGCTATGGAGGTAAGCAGGCCTAGAACACAGACAGAAGGACCAGCCCAGCCTGGGTCTCTGTAACTGATGAGGGAAGGTGGCCAAGGAAGAGCCCCTGGTCTGCTGGCAGCAGGCTTGAACCGCCCACTTCTCTCTGGGTCCCATCCTCAGGGATGCCCACAGGCCCTAGCGAAACTGTCCTTGCTCTTTCTTCCTATGGCAGGTGTTTTGGGGGTCTCCACCCTAGCTGAGCTCCAGCATCTCCTCCTCAGCCCAGTTCATGTCTGCTGGCCACAGGACCTTTGCATTTGCCTGGGACACTAACTCTCTAGGTAACTGGTCCTGCAACCCTGTCTTCTATACCCCAAGTGCTAATACTCAGGATCAAATGCAGAGCTTTGTGCACTCTGGGTGTACTAGGACTCTCCATGGCACCTTTGTGTGTGTGTGTGTGTGTGTGTGTGTGTGTAGAGAGAGAGAGAGGGAGAGAGTACTGGTTCTCCTGTTCCACCATGTAGGTCCTGGAAATCAAACTCAAGGTTGTTGGTTGGCGGGAAATACTTCCACCGATCAAGCCATTTCATTGGCTCTCACTTTCCAGTCCTGAATGTCACCTGACCCCTTCCCTGGTGGCCTCTTCAGCTGCCTGGCCTCTTGTCCCAGTTTTCCCTGGGGAAGGGCAGGGCTGCAGGGCAAAGGCTTCACTGTGTTGGCTGGGTGCCAGTCCCTGTATGCTAGGCCAGTCATGGGGTCATTGTGGGATGTCCTTGCTCCCCTTAAGCTGTACTGAGGTCTGCCTATGAGGAATCAGGAGGGTGATGGGGACAACACAGTGGGAAGCCACCTCTCATGGAAGGTTGCCCCTCTGCAGTCCCTGGACCTGGGTGAGTTACCCTGTAGCTGAGGCTCCAGCAACAAAGGGAACCTTAGGCAGAGTCCTGTGGGAGGGGCCACCCACAGGAGAGCAGCTGAGGTCAGGTGGTGGGTGTGAACAACAGCCCAGCAGGCCTGGCTTAGAGAAAGATCTAGAAGCCAGACTTCAGGAACTAGGCCTGGCTTCTGGTTTCCTTTTTTTCTGTGGAGGGACTGAGGCCAGGTTCCTGGAACTCACTGGGAAGAACACAGAAACCTAGTTCACCTAATCCAGGGTACATGACCCAGAATTCAAGGACAGCTAAGGGTGGTGGTGGGACAGGAATGCCAATGAATATAGGGCACAGGGTCTCAGCCAGCAGGAGGCTAAAGGGACAGTAAACTGATGGCCTTGAGGACAGGACCAGGGTATAGCTCATAGCCCTGCATAGTGGCACATGCCTTTAATCCCAGCACTCAGTAGGCAGAGGCATGTTTATCTCTGTTCTAGGCCACCCTGGTCTACATAGCGAGGCCTTGTCTCAACAACAAACCCCACACTAAATTTTCTTATAGTATCTTAGCAGCTAAGGACAGTCTGGAACTCACAGCAATCTTCCTGCCCATGCCATACCGAATGTGAGGACAGGGTGGACCCATTGGCCAAGTAGTTATTCCTGCCATAGTCCTTACTCCTGGGCAGGTTTCAACATGGTGACCAGCCTGCCACAATGTACTCCCTCAGAGCACTGTCTAGGCAGGGTATCACATGGGTCCCACCTGAGGGAGGGGGTGGCCATGTGGTAGATTGCATCAAGACCAGGTTACAATGCCAGGACTACCTTGCATCCTGGCACTCAGGCTCCAGCTGGGAGGGGACACAGGACAGCACAGACCCTCACAGGCACCTGACTTGAATATTTTTTCTGCCCAAAACAGGGTTTCTGTTTATACCTGGGTGTCCTGGAACTCATTCTGTAGACCAGACTGGCCTTGAACTTGCAAAGATTCACCTGCTTCTGCCCCCCCTCCACCCCCCACCCCACCCCCGTGCTGGGATTAAAGGTTTCTCATTACTGTGTGGGCAAATGGGCCCTGAGCACAGCTGTAGGAAAGGGAGACATAGCCCACTTGGTCAGTAAGCACTTGCCAAGTGTTCATGGAACTTCGGATTCCATCCCCAGTAGCCCCTGGCTGGAACTCCATTTCTGGGGATCCAAATATCATCTTCTGGTCTTCGTGGGCACCAGGCATGCATGGAGTACATACACACACACATACCCACACACAGAAAAAAATAAACGTAAGAAAAAAGAAGTTCAACTCGAACATGTTCTGGTCTTCTGTTCTGGGGATGGAGCTTCGCTAGGTGAGCCACTCGCCAGCCCTGATGTCCCCATGCCCCTGCCACAGCTTTCATAGTGCTGCATGCATAGACCTGGCTTTTTGAGTGCCATGTAGCCCAGGCTGGCTTGGAACTCCTATTCCTCCTACTTAATCCTTGTAAGTACAGGACCTGCTCCACTCTCCCCTCTGCTAGCAGGACCAGGAGACAGACAAACAGATACATACACACATGTGCTCGTGGAATTGCTGCACCTGATGGAGGGCAGGGCTGGCTCTCAGTGATGCTTCCTTTATTTTCCTAACAGAACAGGTGGGGGTGGGGTAGGCAGGGGAGGACAGGCCAGCCTGACATGTGCTGAGCCTGTGGCTCCAACATGAAACTCAAAACAAGCCTGGAAGAAGGCAGCCCTTCAAAGAACATCCAGGGCTTCACAGCAGCCTCCGACTTGGAATCTCCCAGAAACTGAGTCAGTAGAAGCCAGGGGCTTCAAGGAGAGGCACCCAGAGGCTAGCCCACCATCCAGAGCTCCACTCAGGCTGTGCCCGTTCACTGCTTGCCTGCTTGCCGCCCTGGCTTCTTCTCTGGTTGACCTCGTCCTGCACCTGGGATGCCACCCCGGCCCCGGCCACCAAAAACACCTGCAGGTGAGAGAAGAGGTAGTGGCTGAGACACCAGCTTCCCTGTGCAGGGGCCACAAATGCTGCTAACACAGAGGCCAAGACAGGCATAGGACTGCAGGAAGACCCCAGGCTGCACGTGGCCTGGGCCCAGGCCAGGATCCCCATGTCCTCATCTTCCCACAGAAATCCACACCCTCATGGGAACTGGACAGGTTACAGAGTGGGGAGGGGGCCCCAGGCGTCCCTCAGACCTCATCTGGGTCCCACCTCGGCCAGCGCCGCCCATGCCGCGGCCTTTCTGCTGCTTCTGCTGCTGTGGCCCCCCTCGCCCACGGCCCTTGGCAGCCTCCTCTCGCACCATGTCGATGATCTCGTCAGGGATGCGCAGGTACTTGATGGTGCTGCCGCGGATATAGCACTCGGGCATTCGCCAGAACTTGTCCCCGTCCTGTGGAGGGACGTGTCATAGACGGCACAGCTCCTGCAGTCCAGCACTGCATCCTCCCAGAGCGGGCACTCACCCTCGATGTACAGATCACCTCTCGAAGGTTGATGTTCATCCAGTTGTCGCAGCTCACCAGGTGCCCATTGTACGTCTCCCCATTCTTCAGCTCCACCAGCTGTAGGAGGCCACGGTCAGCTCGGCTCAGCCTGGCCCAGCCCAGCCCAGCTCAGACACACCTGGCTTCTTGTCCTGCAACTACAGTCTTCTGTGTAACTCCACTTAACCTTTAGGGGCGGGGCGTCACTCACTGGGAAGTGCTATGACGGCCAGGCATGAACAGAAGCAAACTAAAATCCCCTACTAGCTGGGCATGGTAACGCACACCTGTCTTTCCAGGACTCTGGAGGCTGAGGCAGGAGGACAGTAAGGAGACAATGGACAAGCTCAGACTGGTCATCTAAACAAGGAGTATTACACAGCCAAGAAAAGTGGATGAACCTCAAAACTGTGTTGAATGACACAGGCAGACTACATGTTCCTCACTCAGAAATGCCCTCAAGATGCAAAGGCAGGCACGGTGGCCAGGGGATGGGGGCAGAATTCAGGATGAATGCTGAGGGAAATGGAGTCTACTTGTGAAGTTGTACAAACGTTCTACAATGACACAGGTTGAGCTCTGGCTGTGTGAATCTATCTGTAAACACACGTCAGAGGCAACACTCCTCTTACAGTACTGGTGACAGAACCCAAGTTGTACCATGCTGGGCAGTCTTTTGTCTGTGCAGTCACATTCCTGTCCCTTTTCAACAAATTGAGTGTCACATGCTGCCCATACTGGCCTTCAACCCATGGCAATCCTGCTGCAGCCTCCCAGGCCATTGTCATGACAGGTGCTGTGCTAGTCTGTGCTGTGATACTGAGGATGGGACCAAAGTTATGTCAGGTGCACTCAGGCCCAACTTCTCCCTGAAGTTACTTTTTTAAAAAGATTTTTTTTTTTCGGACCTTTTATTCATCTTATTACATCTGTCACTTTGTCTATGTTCAGGGACTTTGAGGGTGGAAGACTGAGGACAATGGGGGGGCAGTTAGTTCCCTCCTTCCATCACTATGTGGGGATTAACCTCACGTCTTTACACTTGGCAACAAGCACCTTTACCCACTGAGCCACCTCTCTAGCCCTTCCAGCATGAATTTCTCCTCTTTGAATTGTAAAGGCCTGGGATGTGGACACATGAAGAGAGGTGGCCCGGAGTGACTGCACTTACCATGGGGTGATTCTGCGCTGTCTTGAGCAGCGACAAGGGAAGCTAGAAGGCAAATATCAATGTGAGTGTTCCCTGATGCAGGGACGGCTGTACAGTCAAAGCGATACACAGTACTCTGCTGTACTCTGTCCCCTCCTGCAAGTGGCAACCACCCAGACTTGCCTGGACCATTTTGGTCATTTCTCCACAACTCGTGCCACCTAAACCACGATGGAGTGCAGCCCTCCAAGTCTACAGGTAGCAATCTAATACGTTATTTAACTGGCTGGACTCCTAGGACAGTCTTACTACACAGTGTAGGTAGGCTCCAGCCTTCTGAACCCCAGGGTTGCACTAGTTAGTGCCTGGGATTTCTCTTCCATGGTGCTGGGGATAAGGCCAACGGTTCTAAATCCAGTGGGGAAGGAGACCCTGAAAACACAAAGGATGCCCTGTCCCTGTGCTTCTAGAAGGGATGGCTTGGTGCTGGGGCTGAGGGCTGGAAAAGGTGACAGAGCAGCTAGTAACACTCTGCCTCCCAGCCCCAGTCCCACAAAACCAACATAAACCAGGTGCGGTACTGTACACTTCTCACTCTTAGTACCAAGAAGGCTGAGGCAAGAGGATCAGTAGTTCAGGATTATCCTCAACTACAGTTGAGGTCAGCCTGGGCTACACAAGACCTGTCTCCAAAACTCCCACAAAAAAACAAAACACAGCAAAGCATGGGGCACACATGCTTAATCCTAGCACTGAGAGGCAGAGGCAGGTGGATCTCTGTGAGCTTCAGGCCAGCCAGGGTTATAGAATGCTCAGGAACCACAGGTTCAGCATGATGACTTTGGGTCATGAGGACTGGGGATCCTGCAGCCCATGGCCCTTCCTGAGAAGAGCTGGAGAGGCCTGGTAGCAGGAAGTGAGGCTGGAGCCCACTTCCTGTAGCAGCTTCCTGGAAGGGTTGGAGGTGGAGGATGAGGTGCAAATGGGTGGTGGGCAGGCGGCTTTGGTGGTCAGTGACAAGGGTGTCCAAAATGCTCCTCAAATAAATAAACAAATATGAGCTACAGCATGGCAGCCTATGGATAAGCTCCAAGGAGACAGGGGCACCATCATTCTTGACTACAGTGTGAAGCCAGCCTGGAACATGAGGACCCTGTCTCAATGAAGGACAAACAGAACAGTCAAATCCCCAAAACAAGGGACAGCAGGGGCTCAGGGCCAACCCTGAAAAACAACAAGGGACATACATGCAGTTCTCCTGGAGCTGGTATGGCCTAGCCCAGGCCAGGAGCTGGCTGCCAGGAAATCATGATGAGGCCCATCCTACTGTTGAACTTTTGTCCCTCCTGCCAGGGCCCCAACCACTGCCCAGGGTGTTCTTCCTCAGACTTTTCTTGCCAAATGCTGCTGATGTCCCCTCCTCTGGCCAGGCCCTAATGGCCACCATTTCCACCCACTGCTCTGTAATTACCGAGTGATTAGCACCTGGCTAGACAAGAGATCAGTGTGGGCGTGGGTTTTGCTGTGGCAAAGAGGGGCAGTAAACACACAGGGGTGGGGACCCTGACAGTGGGGGCCCCTGGCAAAGGTGCCTCCTGTCCAGGCCCACAGGTGAGGAAAATGTGTAGGGGACAGGATGCCACCCTCAGCCACCACCATGAAAGGCTGTGATGGCCCAGGGGGCCATGTGCAGTGAGGGTTCTAGCCTATCGGGAAGAAGTGGAGAAGTAATGAGTCAGTGCCATGGCTGGAAAGGTCATAAGCTCACAGTGAGATGGGTCAAGGTGGGCAGGGTACCTACGACAGCCACTAGCTCTGAGCTCCAGCCCCAGCACCTCCCACTGAAAGAGCTAGTTTCAGCAAAGGAAATCCCTTCTTGGCCATCCTCCAGACCCCGGCCCGGGGGTCCTGTGTAGATGAGATGGGAGGAGGCCCAAAGCCAAGGGCTCTGAGTTCAGGAATGCTCAGTAAGAACACTCCTGTCCCAGACCGACTGAGGAAATCTGGGAGTGTCTTTGTGTGGCTGCTGCAGTGGGTGGCCTGCGCTGGATGCCCCAGGTTGGCAAACCCTTCCAGGAAGGTCAGGGATCAGGGGCTGGGTAGGCACTATGTGGTGGGAATAGGCTGAATGAGTCTTGAGAGTTCAGGATGCAACTAGTGGGGAGTGCTACCCAGCATGTGCGAGGCCCTAGGAGCCTGCACACTAACCACGCATGGTACTCTACCTGCGAACCCAGCACTCTGGAGTGAAGGCAGGTTCAGAAATTCAGTGTCATCCTCACCTACAAAAGGAGTTCAGGGCCTCTGGGCTATGAGTTCCCGCCTCCCCTCCTGAGATGGGTGTGGAGGTGTGTACAAACACTTGACTTCTCCATACTCCAGAAACCGAGGAAGGAGGATCACGAGTTTGAGACTAGCCTGGGCTACATGATGCCCAGTTTCAGAAAACAGAACCAACAAACAAAACCGAACACGCTACCATCAAGAACTGAGGAGATGGATTATGTCTCTCACAACTTGGGCCAACGCGCCCCTCGACAGAGCACACATGAAGACCCGCCCTCCTATTCACCACCATGTTGTCACCTAGGTCTATACAGAAGTCCCAGGACTGGGGAGCCTGAACCAGGGGAAGGCACTTCCTTCCTCCTGACCAGGACATGCTGTGTGTCCCAGGAAGAAATGTCACCCTCTGTGCTGGATTTGCAACAAAAGGCGTGGGCAACTACGGCCAGACACTAGATAAGAGACAAGTCGGCCAAAGGAGCCCACGTGGTGAGGCCTCAGCCCCGCCCACTTCCCGGAAGTGCAGCATTCCTATCAATGACGATAACAAATCCCGGAAGCGATTATTGTCCCTCTTCCGTTCTCAAAAAATGTGTCCATCTCGAGGCAAGTCCCCAATGCCCACGGGCTAGGACCCTGGAGACGTCCCGGTCGCCTCTGGTCTCAGTTTCTCCCACCTCTCAGCAGCCCGAAGTTCCTGAGCACGCTCCCCACCCGTCCCGCGGCCCTCACCATCTTCCTTTGGAGACACTTCCGCCGCTGCACAGCCTCTCGTGCTCCCGCCGGCTGCTCGCTGCGCGCCACTAGCCTGAAGGGACTGACAAAGACTGTGACCAATCAGAGAGGGGCTGAAGGGACATCTACCCAATTGGCGTGGAGTAGGGCGGTGCCTATGGAGCGCGACGGCCGGGCGCACCGTATTCGCACCCTGGGATTGAGGGGGCAGCCGTAAAGTGAGGCAGCCGTAAAGTGAGGCAGCCGTAAAGTGGGGCCGCGGCGCCCCTCGTGCCTGCTCCTGGTGTATGCTGGGAAATGGCGCCTGCGCAGACATGTGCTGCTGGATCTGATGAGGCGCCACACCGTGGGCGAAGCTGGTTAAAATGCGTGAGAAGCTGGAGGGGCCGGGAAAGCTGCTGCTGCCCACCTTCGCGCTCCCGGCCTTCCATCCTCTCGTGATGCGTCTCTTTATCTTTTTTTTTTTTTTAAATAAAGTTTTATTTTTCCAAATGTACAGCTGATTGAACCTGTTTATGCATCTTCACCAGCAGCTGGGGCATCTCCACCCTTTGTGTTTCTGGTGTAAATTACTTGGGCTCTGTGTTTTGAAACCAGCTTGATAACTCCTTTACTAAGTAATTCCTGAAGGGCAGCTCTGGCCAAGGAACCTCGAATCTTCAGTCTCTCAGAGACCACAGTCGGAGTAATAAGCTTATAATTGGGCACTTCCTTACAGAGTTTGTCGTATGTAGCTTTGTCAAACAGGACTAGATTGTTGAGCTTGTCCTGAACTTTGCCTTTGGGCCACTTCTTTTTGGCCTTGCCACCAGACTTATTTACTGGGTCTATGTCTTTCTTGGCCGAATTTCCGGCATCTTTTCATCCTTAGGCGGCATGATGAAGCTCGGAGAGTGGCGACAACCACTGTAGCCACTGTCGAAAAAAAAAAACCAAAAAAACGCGTCTCTTTATCGTTACTAAGCCAAATAGAGTCCTTGAACGCGAATGGCAGGTCGCCTGCTTCACCGGCCACAGTAGGTGGACAGAAACAGCTAGAATTGTGTTTTGAGACAGATGCGCTCGAGGGCCTGATCATGAATTCGCAGCAGTACTGCCTCAGCCGCTTGTACTGAGCATAGTAAAGACGTCTTTTAGACATGTAAAAATAGCTTAGTCAGGAGCCCCACTACACCCAAGGCTGCACCTGGTAACCAGAAACCAGTGACATCACTCAAGATAACCAGACACAGCCCTAGACCCCATGACATCCACTGGACAGTCTGTAAGCAGAGACCAAGAGCAATGTGCTGTTCTTCACACCTGGGCGGCCACCTTGATCTGCCTGCCCTGCAGCTGGAGCATCTCCCCCAGGATCCTGACCCTTCAGCTGAGATACACGGCACATGTGAGCAGCCTTGGAGCTATAGGCTTAGGACCTTAGTTAGGAATGTAGATTGTGGCCCTTGTGTGATGACTCTCAACAAATATATGTATATGTTGCTCAGAACAGTGCTGTTGCTTTTGACTTTTCGAGACGGTTTCTCTGTGTATCCCTTGCCGTCCTGGAACTCAATCAGTAGACAGGCTGGCTGTGAACTCACAGACATCCTCCTGCCTCTTCATCCCAGGAGTCCTGGGATTGTCGCCAGGCCCAGCATCCTGCACATTGCTGTCTTCTTGGGAACCCAGGTTCTCATGCTCGCCAGAGAGGACTTTACACAGGGAGCTATCTCCCCAGCCCTTCTTTTATATTTATTATCTTTGGCTGCTGGGAATGCAAGTGAAGCTTTACCCTGAACTTTCCCGAGCAGGAGAGCTGCTTTACCAAGCTAATGAAAGGCTCTAGTGAAGAATGTCAGTGACGATATTCTCCGGTACCCTACCTCTGACCCATGAGACTCTCTTGGCACCACTACCCAGGGCCCTGTGAGTGATGAGGTCAGTCTGCACCAGGAATGCGTCTCAATGGGAGGGGTGGAAGCTTTGGGCTCCACCCCCACACCGCCAAAAAATAGAGTAAAATAAAATAAAAACCAGTAAATACTGAAGAGGAGAAGTTGAGCACAGTGGTGCAGGATCGTCACCTCAGCACTGGGGAGGTGGAGGACATCCTCGGCTACACACGCAGTTCAAGAATAGCCTGGTCTCCGTGACTCTGTCTCCAATAACAGGTCTTAGGTTATGGATGCCCTGGCAGCCCAGAATCCTGCTCTGAGATGGGGACCAAAGGATTCGTGATGTCACCTCTGTGGGTGAGGATCTGAGGCACCCAGGAAAGGAGCGCCCCACGATGAGGACCTTGTACCCCAACAGCAAGGCTGGTGAATTCCAGCAAAGTTGATGTCAGCCTCCGTGGGGAGCCCTGGCGAGCCCATGCTCGTCAGATTCAGCCTTGAACTCACCTGGTCACGTGGGTGAAGGGACCAGGGCAAAGCTGCGGATGGCTAAAAGGGACAGTGCCTCAGCGTGGCGGAAGAAGTAGGGAGGAAATCGCAGGCTGTGCCACTCTGTTGAACCTTTTCTAGACTTTTCTCTGAGCAATCTTCTTTGTCTCTTCCAAATATTTCCCCATTCTTTCAAGCTTGAAACCTCTGCTTGGGCGCCCCGTGTGGTGCAACTGCATCATTTAAGTTTTGTTAGTTTTGTCCTTGACAACTGGATGAAACTTAGGGCCTCACACATAAGCCAAGCCCAGCCCTTCTCTAAGGGGATTCTAAGCTGTTACTTTACTCCTGAGCTACATCCCCAGCCCCCTCACTAGAGGATTCACGAGCTTTTCACGTTTTCCTTTGGAGAGGTCACAGGGGCGTCCTCTTGACTAGCCAGACCTGGGACCTGTGAGCTTGATCATCAAGGAGAAACCTAATAACAGCCTCAATAAATGCTCCACACACCTTCTTTGCACCTACAGCTCGCAGACAAAATGTGGGGAAGACCTTCAACAGCGGCAGTGCTGAGGCTCCAAGTGTGGCCTGGGCTGCTGCAGCTGAGGCGGTGAGGAGCAAGTGCACTTCTATGTAGCTTCTTCCAAGGGGACAGGGAGGGTTCCAAACTGAGTGGATGATACAATAAAGAATAAACTGGGGCCAGGCGTTGGTGGCACATGACTTTAATCCCAGTACTTGGGAGCCAGAGTTATTCGAAACCACCCTGGTCTACAGAGCAAATTTCAGGACAGCCTCCAAAACCACAGAGAAACACTGTCTCGAGGAAAAAAAAAAAAAAAAAAAAAAAAAAAAAAGATAAGAAATGATGGAGGCATCTTCTTTCTCAATTGGGGTTCCTTTCAGATAACTCTAGTTTGTATGTCAAGTTGACGGAAGACTATTGTACCTGTCATCTCAGCACAAACACAAAGGCAAGAGGACTTCCTTGAGTTTTAGCAAGGATGGGGATTCGGGCAATGGTGGGGCTAGCAGCCATACATGTCCACTGGAGCAATGTTGGCATAACTGTGAGGCTTCTTGAATTCTGCTGCAGTGGAGGACTTGTGTCTGCAGCTGCAAACAGACTCAAGACCTGTGGCTAGGCAGCTCATAGGCCTCAGTGGGGAAGCCACTGATGTTGTCTGGCAAGCAGGATGACCATCAAAGTGCTCCCCCACCATGTTAATGTCCATAGATTAGCCGCTGCCGATGCTTCAGGCAGCTGTGAGCAAACAAGCCTCTTTCACATTGGTATTGGTGATGGCAGAGTCAAAGCTGAGAATGAAAGTCATGGAGGGCACAGCCTTAAACAGGGCATCTGTCCCCTCACCCCACCCCAACTCCCCAGGCTCCAGGAACAACCTGGAAAGAGGGGGTAGAGAATGCCAGAGCCTGAGGGAGTGTGTAGAGCTGTGGGACATGATGGGATCCATGCTGGGGAGGCCAGGGGCCTGACCCTTCCCTGAGGACATGTAGGCAGACCAGGGCTGTGAGGGGCCTTTTCTCCGTGAAGTAGCCTGGGGTAGTCTGCTCCCGTATGCAAGGCTCACTACACCCAATGAATCCCAGGAAAGAGAAAAAGGAAGGTGGCAAGGAGAGAGGGAGGGGGGAGGAGGGGGGAAGGAGGGAGAGGGGAGAGAAACATGACAGTGAAGGGGACAGTTGGCATGAGAGGAGATAGGAAAGGAGGGATGGGGAAGAGAAGGGACATGAGGGAAATTTGTCAGTGTGTGTATGAAAGTGTCCCCATGGAAGCCACTATCTTTCCATGAACACATGGTAACACAGAACACCTGATCCCAGCACACAGGAAAGAGGCATGGTCATTGGCAGAAGTGCCTCAGCATTACCACAGCCAAAAGTAACAAATGAACCAACACTTCCAACAATGCCTGGGTGGGGGGGCACATTCCTGTTATCCAGCCTTTGGAGCAGGGGTAGGGGGGTGGGCAGGGGCACTGCTCTAAGTTTGAGGCTAACCTGGTCTGTATAGCAGAAACACTTCTGAAAACAGAGGGGGAAGGGAGAAAGAAAGGAATAATCAATCGGGAGAAGGAAGTGGCAGCTATGTCTTTAATAACAACACTTGGTGGATCTGTGAGTTGTGAGTTCGAGACCATCCTGATCTACAGACCAAGTTCTGGACCAGGCAGGGCTACATAGT